TCAGGGTCCTTGCGCCGGGAGGACGCATACGGGTCGTTTTCGGGACCCGGCGCCCCCCAGTTGCTCCCTGCCCCAGAAGGCGTCCCTCCGCGGCCCAGCTCTTCCTCCGGAGCCTCCCATTCCGGCGGGTGGACGAAGCTGCAGCTCGAAGTCTTCGGGGACGCCCTGGGGAGGCGGCTCGCGCCCCCAACGTTCTCGGCCTCTTCCTCCTCAGACAACCGGAGGCCTGAGGGCGGCTCAGAGGCCGTTCTGCCCAGGCCGCCGCCGAAGATCGCGGCTTGCTGTTCCCCCAGAGCTAGAAGGCCTGCTTTGGGCCCAGGCCGCCCCCGGGGCGACTCCATACTGCAGTTGGGGGCAGGAGCCGAGGAATTGGTTCGCCCCGGCTCAGGAGGCGTTGGCGGCGCCTTTAAGGGGCGTTGTAGAGGCGCGCCGATTGGCCTTGGGCTCACAATGGTCAGGACGGGAAGAACACTCTGATTGGTCCCGGCAACCAGGAAGTCCCAGGAGAGGAGCTGTTATTGAACGACTGAACGCACGTGAGAACCAGCGGGGTGGAAAGAAGGAGGTGACAGCTGCGCTCGTCGCCCCGCCCTTTCAAAAAGTTGAGGGGGCAGATCTTAAAGGTGAAGATCCTGAAATAACGGAGTCCTCCGGGGGCGGGGCCAGGGCTCTTTCCGCCCACAATTGTCACGCCCACAATTGCTGCTTAACAAACACTTATAGTGCGGACCAGAATTGGGGTTCCTAGGAGGTTTTTGGGATGGAAGTAGTATATCCTGCTTGGACCGTCGGGATTCAACCGCAACTATGTGATCAGGAAGGATGAAACCAGAATTCTCAGCAGAGCTTGAATGGTTCGTTCCATCGTCCTCGCCTAACAGACCGAGCAGATGAATTGCCCAGGACTCACAGTGGACAGCGAAGCGGGCTTAAGGGCTTTCCTGTGTATTTGGCACTCTGTTCTCTGTCTCCTGTCCCCTCCAGGTCTGAGTCTCTCTCCTCTTGGAGGATGGTGTGTGATTTTGCCACTACGTAAAATATTCAATAAATTAATGGCCCTGAAGTTCAGAGCCCTGGTACCATTCTGATCTCATCTCTTCCTTCTCCTCCCCTCACTGGTCCTGCTGTAGCCACCCTGGCCTCCTCACAGTTCCTGTGACAAGACAGACATGCTGCTCCCTCAGGGATTTACACTTGCTCTTGCAACTCCCCTCCCGCCCTCCCCTTTTTTTGAGGCTGGGTCTACCAAGGAAAATTTTCACCTTGGATATTCCTCCTTCCCTTCTCTCCTTCAGGTCCTTATTCAAATGTTATCTTTTCAGTGAGGCCTCCCCTTACAGTCTGTTTAAAATTTCAACCACTTTCTCCAGCAATTCCCCATCTTCCTTCCCTACCTCTTCTCCGGAGCACTTATCACCATCTGACATATTTTGCTTACTTGCTCATGTAAGTGCCATGAGGGTAAGACTTTCTGTTGGTTTTGTTCTCATTTGTAGCCCCAGTGCTTAGAACAGTACCTAGCGTATAGTAGGTGCTCAGTAAATATTTATTAATTAAATGACCCTAGGCCATTGATTTCCCCTTTTTGGCTTGAACTCATTCAAGATGTGTTTCTGTCACTTGCACCCAGAGCCCTGACTAATACAGCATGAGACCAATGGTCTACTGTAAGCTTCTCCCCCTCTCTTTGGGAATGACACCCCCCCCCTTGTCTTCCTTTTACTCCTCAGCAAGCAGATGCTCTGTATGCAGCAGGTGAAAGAAAACACAAGTTGAATCAACAAAAGCAAACAAACAAAAACAAGGAGAATTTATTGTCATATAATAATGGTCTTAAGGTGTCAGAGAAGCCTGCATTCAGTGCCCTAACACTGTCATAAAGGGCCTGGTTTCTTTCCAAGGGAGTAGCTTTATCCCAAGTGGGCTTCCTCATGGTGGCACTATGTCATTTGTCATTCTTTGGGAATTATAGTTGTCTGCTTGAACTGCTATAACAAAATATCATAAACTGGGTGTCTTAACAGAATCTTTTTTTTTTTTCTCCCAGTTCTGGAGGCTGTAAGTCCAAGGTGACAGCTGATTCTGCTCCTGGTGAGGTCTCTCTTCCTGGCTAGCAGACAGGCCACCTTCTTGTCTCCTTATATGATGGAGAGAGAGAGCTAGCTTTCTGGCCTTTTCTTATAAAGACACCAATCCCATCATGAGGACCCCACCCTCATGACCTCATCTAAACTTAATTGCCTCCAAAGGTCCCATCTCCAAATACCATCACATTGAGAGTTAGGGCTTCAACTTCAAATATGAATTTTTGGAGAGACAAAAATATTCAGTCCATAACTGAATAACTTTGTCATTCTCTTGGGCCTCCCAGGATCTGAATCCCAGTGTTTCAGGACTCTCCCACCTCGTTAGGCAGAGCCCATCTCCCACTACAAAAGCTGGAATACCAAGCAGTCACTTTCCCAGATTCCCTAGCACATGGCTCAGGCTCCACCATGGTCTACTGGACCACTTCTGCAGTGGAATTTTTCCTGACTGTGTAGACTCCAAGCCTAGTCCTTTCAGAGATTCCATGAATTACCCAGGATGATCATAATAAGGTCTGTTTCAAGTTAAATGAACCTGAATTGTTTTCTGTTGCATGCAACCAGAAGCCCTGGCTGATATACTCCCATACCTTCCAGAAGGGGAGGAAGGACTAGCTTCCGATGCATCTTTCCCAGGAGCCCCAGTTAATCTCTCGTCACGTCACATCTCCTTGGCCTAAACTGGTTCACATGCCCAATTTAGTCACTTTGGTCAGGGTGATACCATGTCTTATTGACTTAGGATTTGGTATTTGGAAGCAATCACTCTGGCAAGGTGACTGAAGAATTAACTGACTAGGTTAGAACAATTATGCCCCTCCTGGAGCTAGAGGTGGGTCAGTTCCCTCCAAACTGAAGTAGGCAGTAACACAATGGAGGACGGAGGAGGGGCTATGGGGGAGCAAAACAGTGTCCACTACATTAGGGGTCAGCAAAATATGGCCTGTGGGCTAAATCCAGCTCTCCACCCATTTTTATATGGCCTATGAACTAAGAATGGGCTTTTTTTTTACCTTTCATACTCCATCTCAGGCCCATATGATGCAATGAAGGCCCAGTTGATGAATGCTGATAACTTTAAGTGCTCAGGCTCGGGGGAGAATTGGGAGGTGTGATCTGTTCAGAGGGGCTAAGAAAATGAGACAGGCTGTTGACTTCAGGGACATCTATTCCAAAAGGAAGGTATAGAATGTCATGAGACAGCTTGGCTGGCATCTCATGGTCATAACATACACACTGGATACTGACATTGATCCTCTAGATTTGCAACCTTCCTGAGCTCAGAGGATTTTTTTTTTTTTCTTTCTTATTTATTCACTGCCCTGCCTCTAGAACAGTGCCTGGACTGTGGAAAGCACTCAGTAACTATTGTCAAACGAATAAATCTAACCAAAATTTTGATATAACTACATCAGAAGGATGTAGGGACAGAAAATGCACATGTGTATGGTGGCAGTGGAGTGAAAGAATGAAATCTGTACATTTTGTAGCAGGAAAACAATAGATAGAGCCTAAAACTGAAAACTTAAGGAGTAGCAACAGAAGCCTGTGATTTGGAAATACATGGTAAATACCAAAAACAAAACAAAACCATAAAAGGATTTGGAATAGGCTGTCTGTGGGGAGAGAGAAATGGGCAGACTCTTCGGGTTTTTTTTAAAGCCTTATAACATCATTCAGTTGTTTTAATCTATGGGCATATGTAGTGGGTTGCATGGTAGCCCCCAAAAAGATATGTCTGTGTCTTAACCTCTGGAACCTATGAATGCAATGTTTTTTGGAAAAAAGGGTCTTTGCAGATGTAATTAAGGATCGTGAGACAATATTATCCTGGATTATCTGGGTAAGCCATAAATCAAATGACTAGTGTTCTTATGAGACACAGAGGAGAAAAGAGAGAAGACAGGAAGGCTGTATGAAGACAGAAGCAAGAGATTGGAGTGATGCAGCCACAAGCCACCAAGTGCCCAGAGTCACCTGAAGCTGGAAGAGGCAAGGGAGGACTTTCCCCTAGAGCCTTTGAGGAGAGCATGGCATTGCAGACAACTTGATTGTGGACTCCTGGCCTCCAGAACTGTCAGAGAATACATTTCTGATGTTTTAAACCACCGAGTTTGTGGTAATTTGTTACAGCAACCCTAGGAATTGAATATAGCATATGAGTAACTGAGATGAAAATAAAAACATTTATTGATGTTCTTCACCACATGGCTTAAAAGAGCAAATAATCAACAGATGCAGAAAAAGCATTAGGTGAAAGTCAACACCTATTTTTGATTCAGAAACACCCCAACAGACTCCACGCTTCCACTGCAGGGGGTGCGGGTTCGATCCCTGGTCGTGGAACTAAGATCCCGCATGCTGTTGCGGCTGACCCCAAAACAAACGCCCAAACCCTTAGCAAATTAGGAAGTGACCAGGCCTTCCTCAACCTGATAAAGGACATGTATTAAAAATCTACAGCAAGCATCATGTATCTAGCAGTGAAACCTTAAACCTTAGGTTAGGAACAAGATTATTGCTTCTATTCACTCCTGTGCTAGATCCTCATCAAAGCGGAAAAACAAACAACTTCTGGGTACAACAATGTTCAATTGCTCCTGGGTCGGCAGGAGTGAACCAGAAGAGGAAAAGAATAGAGGTCAACTAAGAGCAAGTAGTAAGAGAAGGTGGGCAGAGATGGCTGGTGTGCAGGCGTAGCAGAGTGGAGCTGAAGTCCCCAGCATCCCCAGGTCTGGGAGTCAGAGCAGGGGAAAGAAAAGACTTGGGGGTGGGGTGGAGCTGAGAGGGCAGGGTGCTCCCAGGGGCAGTGATGCAATGCCAGTCCTGGCACCCGGCATGGGCAACTCCCCAGCCTCCTCCCCACAGGTGACGGCTTCCTTCACAGCAATTTCCGCCTGTAAACATCTACACTCATCAGTACAAAAAGCTTCAGCCTTTATTAGATAAAGAGGAGGTAGAAGACAGATGCGGGAACAGGCCAGGGGCCCCTTCTCCTAACTACACATATACAGACATACAGACACAACTGAGAAAATGACAGGGACAGTTCAGGGGACAGACTGAAGGGCAGAGGGGGGCAGCACCCTCCGGGAGTGGGCCCGGACCCAAGGGTGGGCTGAGACCTGAGCCAGCGGCAGGCGTTCTGAGGGGTTATGCTTGAGCAGCTTGGAGATAAGGTCCTGGGCTCCTGCAGGCATGGAAGGGGGAATCTTCAGGTCCACCTGCAGAGGTAAAGGAGGAGGACCCCAGCTTTCATCCTGGCTGCTTTCCCTTCACTGCCCATTTTATTTGGCTAGTGACAACTACGATATGCCCACTCCCTGCCCCTGGCCCTTGGGCCAGCACAGACCCCAGCCATGCACCCGGGGCTAGCCTCCCACCTTGACGATCCGCCTATACGTCTCGTTGTGGGAAGCACTCTCGAAGGGGGGGTTTCCCACAAGCAGCTCGTAGCAGAGCACTCCGATGCACCACAGATCCACCTTCTCGTTGTGCGTGCGGCCCTCAATCATCTCTGGGGGCAGGTAGTCCAGGGTGCCACACATTGTCTTCCTCCTGGAGGGGGTGGTGAGTGGGCAGGGATCCCAGATCCAGACCTTCTCTCCTTTCCCTGAAGCTTGACAGGGAGCCCAGAGACCCCAGGATGTGCCAGGGGAGTGTTCCAACCAGGCTCTGACGGAGCCTTTGGGGTAGGAGTGAGGCGAAGACATACACTAAAGCCCCAGAGGTGGGCTTACACACTGCCTCTGCGTTTCCACACTGAGGGCTGTATGTTAAAATAATCAGATATGAGGGCAATGTTCACCTTAGAATTAAAGGAAAAATCTCAAACGTCCATCAAGCACATCCTGCTTACATTAATCAGGTTACATCTCTACTATGCAATATTATGAAGGCATTAAAAATGACGTGGGCGTATTCTCAGTGATATGGCAAGAAGGTCCCAATATATTTCGAGTGAGAAACCTGGGTGGCAAAACTGAGTCTCCTATTTTTGGTTTTTCCTTTTTGGCCGCACCGCGTGGCTGGCAGGATCGTAGTTCCCCAACCAGGGATTGAACCCCGGGCCAGAACAGTGACAGCACGGAGTCCTAACCATTGGACCACCGGGGAATTCCCAGAGAGCCTCCTATTTTTGTAAAGATATTGCTGTGTCTGTATATTTACATGAGAACCACCCAAAATGTCTCTGGGTAACGAGATCTGGAGTGGTTTTAGTTTGAATGCCCCAGCCTCACCCCCAGGGCCGGCCTCCTGGCCCACCATACCTCAGGGAGGGGGCGTGTACAGACCAGCCGAAGTCAGCAATCTTCAGCTCTCCCTGGAGCCCCAAGAGCAGATTCTCTGGCTTTATGTCTCTGTGAATCACCTTCTTCCCGTGGCAGTATATCAGAGCATCTGCCAGCTCCTCCATAATCTGGGGGGCCAATGACAGGCAGTCAGACAAGGATAGACTTCGGGCTGCAAGCAGCGCCCCCGCAGCCTCCAGCCCCCCGGCTGGTGCCCCAGGTGCCCACCCGCCCCGACCGTGGCTGTTCGCTGCTCGTCAAAAGTGTGGCTCTTCTGTAGCTCCTTGTAGAGCTCCCCCCGGGGGGCATACTCCAGAATCAAGTAGATCCTTCGCCGGTCATAGAAATAGTTGTAGAGACGCAAGATGTTGGGATGCCTGGGAGAGGAGACAGAGGAAGCATCAGGCTGTATCCTGGCATAAGGAAATGGGAAAGATGACAGGTCCCACTGCAGCAAACTGGGTCAGGCTTGGGCCAGGCAAGGGACACCAGGCTGGCGGTGCTAAGGGGGAACTGGACGCAGCTCTCTGGGTTCAAGGCTCTGGCCAGGACTGAGAGCTCCTTGGGGCTGCCTGACCACAGCTGCAGAGAAGACAGTCCGGATGTGGTGGGATTGGAAGAGGAGCGGGGGGTTGAGGCGCCAGGGGTACTGTGGCTCGAAGGGCGCTGCCCGCGTACTGCAGATGGGCCTGGATTTCGATCTCCCTGCGCAGCTGGTGTTCCACACCCTCCTTCTCTATCTGAGACTTGAAGAGGACTTTGAGCGCCACGATGAAACGGCTTTTCTTCTCCCGAGCCAAGTACACATTTCCAAACTTGCCTTTGCCCAGAGGACGCCCAATCTCAAAGTCGTCGATTGTGAAGGAACGCCTGCTGGGGGTGGGGGGTGGGGGGTGGTAGGCAGCTGTTAGTCGGTCCTCTGAGGCGTGTGCCTTCTCCCTGCACCTCAGCCCATCCTGCCCGCAGCCCTGTTTCTCTTCCAGGGGAGCTGAGGATGGATCAGGCTTTCTTGCCTCCCTACTCCTCCTGCCCTTACCGTCTACCTCCCCCATTTCCTACCTGTTCACTGTCCCTCCCCCTCTCTTGCCACCCCAAGGCTTGGGGCGCTTACATTGAGAAGTTGGGGGTCCCACTGTTGTTCTCCACCACCTTCTGGAGAGGGGCAGCTAAGGAAAGAACAGGGAAATTGAGGCCATCCTTTGACATTTTCATCCCCGTCCACCTTTCCCAGACCCTAGTCCCCTCAGGTCAATGCCCTCCCCTTGTCCTAGTTACCTGTGGGCTGGGCATTGGAGCGGCTCATGAGGACAAGCGCAGATGGGGTGACAGGCTCCTTCCGGAGGACTCTCTGGGGCAGGGTGTTCAGGCCAGACTGAGCCTGAGAAGGACCAGGGGGGAGCTCTGAGAGTGCCTTTATCCCAGTGACCGGGTTGGAATGTGCTACAAGCAGCATTTCAGGACTTGCTATAAAGCCACCCACCCACCTACCCAATCCCCAGTTCAAAGAGGAACACTGAGACCCCAGTTTTGCTACTCAGCCCCAAAACTCTGCTCAGAGCCCCATATAAAATGAGTTATTAATAAACAACCTAAGTCAGCCTAAAATAGGGACTTACCCTCACACCTAACCTCTCACCTCTTTGGCCCTGGCCCACTCCACATTATCAGGCCCAAGGCTGTCCAACCTTCAAAGTCTTCTCCATAACACCACTCATTTACCCAGCCCCCCACCCCAGGGCGCAGTACAGGCTGGGGTAATGAACACACACAATTCAAGGAGCTTTAGCACAGCCGGTATTCTCATGGTCCCCTAAGCTCAGTCTGTTAAGTCTCAGATAAGGTCCTTGTGGCCTTGAGTGTTCAGCAAATCTGTGTTCACCCCTTTGCAACAACAGGCTTTAGGACACTGAGGGCTACTCTAAGGGCCCTGGACCACTTTTCACTTTCAACTTCTGAGTAATATACACCCCTTTCTTTTAGGAGTGACCAGTGTGGGCATGACAATGTTTTCTCATTCAGCCTCCACTACTGACAGCCTCATTCAGAGCTTCACCAGGGAGGCAGCTGGTGGACAAGGGGACATACGGACCCCCCCAGGATACTCAAGCCCAGCAAACAGAGAGCAAAGCCCATGCAGGGCCCCTTCTTTCTTCTTTAGCCAAGAGAGGAAGAAAGCCTCAGTGCCCCTATGGACCTGTTTGCAAACAGTGATATTAGCATGGAATTTACAAATAAGCAAGTTGAACAAAATGGAGTGCAGAAATAGATCCACATATATGCGGGAATTTAATATATGTAACAAAGGTAGCATTTCAAATGAGAGGGTAGACGCTTCAGTGAAAGGTGTTGGGACAACTGGAAAATAAAGCCATTGAATGCTTACTTCACACCAGTCATTAAAATAAATTCTAAATTCTTAATTTAGACTTGTCCTGGACCTTTTAAACTTATAAACGTATCTAAATCCTTCCAGAGTCTACTTCTATTTCCTGCCTAGCCTATTTTTTCAGGACAAGGAAGGGTTGGGAATCATGGCCAAAAGGCCAGACCCTGCCTACTCAGTCCCAGATGTCATCTGGATGTGACAAATAGGCTCAGCTCTGCAGAGGTCCTCACAGGCTGGTCAAACTCAAGTTGGCAGCACCTGATAGGATGTGGCTACAAATGACCAGACTGGGGCCCATAAACTGGTGCAAAGCCGGGAAGAAAGTGGTAAGAGGATCGCCCTCTGCAGGACCTCAAATCTGCAAGCGGGACCTCACCACGCGGGTGGGGGGAGGGGAAGTGGGAAAGCCCTTACCGTCTGCCTGCCGTAGGGCCAGGGGTAGGCGTTCTCCTTCTGGGCCATCCTTAGAAGGGAACGGGGAGGGAACTGGGCAGAGAAGAGAAGCAGAGCCGTGAGAAGGAGAAAAAAAGGAGAGAGAGAGTGAGGGGTCGGACAGATCTAGCCGGAAGCGCTTGTCTGAGGCTGGTGAAAGGGAGCAGGTTTACAAGCTGGCTTCATCAGGGCGCATCCCGGAGCTCGTCTCGCTGCCCCAGCCCTGCTACAGGCCTCACCCCTTTCCAGGACCCTCTCTCCACTTTAGAGCAACCAGCAGCCCGGCAGAGTGCGCGCGGGCCCGCCCAACGGACCCCTCCCCCGACCTGCCGGATCACCTGGCCTCTCCCGGCGCAAGGCCCCCGAAAAGTGGACAGCTCACCTGGAGCCGGCGGCACAGCCACCTCCCTAGCGGCTGGGAAACAACTGAACCTGCCCGGCCGCTCCCACGCAGAGGTCCTTTCAAATCTCCCGCCCTGGCCCCATTGGCTGAGCGCGCCGCCCATGCCCAGTCCTCATTGGATGGGTGTCCCATTACGTAGCCGTAGGGGCCCAATGGAAAAGGTGGAATGCGAGCGCCGGAGCAACTCGGCTTCGGGCTTAGGAAAGTTTCCCTCGACCCCCGAAATAATCTCATGGGTTTTTGTTTTGTTTTGTTTTGTTTTGTTTTTAAAACTTAAGTCATCGATATATCTGGAATTTATCCTTGTGTATATGTATGAACTAGGGTTTAACTTTGTTTTTTGCCAGAGAGCCAGTTATGCCAGCATCATTTGTTAAACAAATTGCACCATTCCCAAGGGAATTTAAATGCTACCCTTGATATACTAAGTCAGATTCTCTATTCAAGTTTTATTGCTTGTTCGTTTGCACGTGTGTTTATTCTTTTTTTTCGGTATGCGGGCCTCTCACTGTTGTGGCCTCTTCCGTTGCGCAAGTTCAGCGGTCATGGCTGGCGGGCCTAGCCGCTCCGCGGCATGTGGGATCTTTTCAGACCGGGGCACGAACCCGTGTCACCTACATCGGCAGGCGGACTCTCAACCACTGCACCACCGGGGAAGCCTTATTTTCTCTCTCTCTCTTTTTTTTTTTAAGTTTTGAATAACTTTTATTGAAATTCAGTTGATTTACAATGTTGTGGGGTTTTTTGTTTTTTTGGCTGCATCGGGTCTTTCTGGTGCGCAGCCTTCTCATTGTGGTGGCTTCTCTGGTTGAGAAGCATGGGCTCTAGGCACCGGCTTCAATAGCTGTGGCTCGTGGGCTCTAGCGCGCAGGCTCAGTAGTTGTGGCGCACGGACTTAGTGGCTCCGGGGCACGTGGGATCTTCCCCGGCAAGGGCTCGAACCTGTGTCCTTTTCATTGGCAGGCAGATGCTTAACCACTGCACCACCAGGGGAGTCCTTGTGCGTTTATTCTTATGTCATTATTTTGTTCTTTGAGTCTTTCACTCATATTCCTAATAAGAATTTTCTACCAGAGGACCTTTCTCTGCAGGTCCCCCGACCGAGGCCAAATTGCTTGGACCCACTCTCACTTTTCTCCTTCTTGCGGCACTCCCTTCTCTGCTCTTTCCGAAATAGATTTTGGGACCTTCTATGAAATAACTGGTGGATATTTGTAAATACTGCCTGTCCAGCACCCTTCATCTTTCTTCTAATAATAACACTCTAACTTCTCTTTAGGGAACCACCTGTCTCCCCATTCTGTGTTGTTGGTTTCTGTGGCTGCCAACCCCAAATCGCTAACTTGATGGAGACACGTTGTAGACGACGTTGTGGTTATCTAGCCAGCATCCATTCTCCCAGCGATTCCCACTTCCTGAAAGCAACTAGAGTTTTGTGGGTCTGAGAGGGAAGCTGACCCCATCCCAGGTCCAGGAGTGGACCTGTCTGATTTACACCAGTCAACACCCTTTATTCTGGGATCATGGTCACTGGTTCAGGGATAAACATGTGACCTTAGTGAGTCAGTTAGTGGGAATTTTAGGATTCTTGTCCAGAATGCTGGACAGAAGCTCCTTTTCTCCTGCTGGAACTGGGCAAGAAAGCACATAGCCTGCATTCCTGGTGGTGGTGCTCCTGCAGGGAGTAGGGTGAGTACGAAGCTGACATTGTAGAAGGCAGAAGAGAGGCCTGGGAAGAACCCGAGAACTTGATGACAATGTTGAGCGTCTGGATGCCCATTTCAGCCATTTCCTTCCATGACCCAACAGGTTTCCTTCTCTAATGCACTGAGTTAAGAGTTCTGTTGTTTGCTGTTAAAAACATACTAACTGACACACATCTACAGACCTAGAGTGTTTGTAGTCATTTGGGTTGAATGATGCAAAACTACTGATAGTCAATCATTCTGACCTACAGAAAATACCAATTTCATACGATTCAACCCGATGTAAATGAAATAAGTCTTAATGTGTTTCTAGATCAGTTCACAATGCTTTTGGCTGCAAGTAACAGGAAACTCAGTTAACAATGGCATAAACAGTAGACATCTATTTTCTCTTACATAACAAGAAATCAGAAAGTAGATAGTAGCTCAGGAACTGAACAATGTTAGAGGTCTGGATTGGCCTCTCCGTGATTCTCTTAACATTTTCCCATTGCAGGATGGATTCCAACAGTCTGTCTCTTTTATCAGGAAAATCAGAAGCCTTTCTAAAAGTTCCCAGTATGGGAATTCCCTGGCGGCCCAGTGGTTAGGACTCGGTGCTTTCACTGTCATGGGACCCTGTCTGATCCCTGGTCAGGGAAGTAAGATCCCCACAAGCCCCAAGGAGCAGTCAAAAAAAAAAAAAAGTTCCCAGTAGATCTCTCCTTGCCTAGAACTGTGTCACATGAGTACTGCAAAGGAGGCTGGTAACCGTGAGCATCTCTTCCAGCCCCTACAGTTAAAGCAGATCGGGGGTGTGGTGGTAGAAATAGGCATGTGCCACTGGAGGTACAGGGCTGTTTTCACTCAGGGTCAGCCCAACCCTGCTTCCCAAGATCAAGGAGGCCATTTCAATTTCGGTGCCTTTATCAACATATTTGGCATAGAGTGACTAGCTAAGGAAGAGCTTTATAAAAATCCTGTCACTTGCAGTATACTTTATACCTCATAATCTAGTGAAGGGAGACTTTTCTAGAACCTGTCAGGGACACAGTGCATGGGTGGGATATGCCTGTTAGATCCCATACAGTAATTCTGTCCCCTGGAGTCTTTAAATTCCCACTTGCAAATTATGTCGGAAGACATTTGGCCTTTCAGGAATAGTTGATGGGCCAGCATAAAATTGAGATTTGCATTATTCACAAAAAACAAAGCAAAACAAAACCTATCTGTTCTAGCAGCTGCCTGTTCCAGTTAGTGAACAAAACCTCTGTTATTTATCCCAGTGCTCCTCAAACGATCTATAGGGAAGAACCAGCCTTAATTATTGTCAATCCATCACAGATTGATACTTTTATAAAATACAATAAAAATGAGTTCCTTGAAAAATGAAATATAAAAAATATAAAAATAACAAGCTTGGGCTTCCCTGGTGGCACACTGGTTGAGAGTCCGCCTGTCGATGCAGGGTCCATGGGTTCATACCCCGGTCTGGGAAGATCCCACATGCCGCGGAGCGGCTGGGCCCGTGAGCCATGGCCGCTGAGTCTGCACGTCCGGAGCCTGTGCTCCGCAACGGGAGAGGCCACAGCAGTGAGAGGTCCGCGTACCGCAAAAAAAATAAAATAACAAGCTCACACTTTTTTTTTTTTTTGGTTATAACCAACGTTTATAAAAGTACTCTGACAAATGCTGTAAGAGTTTTTAAATACGTAGCTCTCAAATTCTATACTCATCTCGGACATAAAAGTAACAGTTCATGAAGTGGCACCAGTCTGCGGGCCACACTGAGTACCAGCAATCTACGTCCAGTGCAGCCCCATCCAAAACTGTGGTCTGTTCTCTTTGGTGAGGCAAGCTCAGCATCCACTCTCCCGCAGGGATTCCCCAAGTTTATAAAGGTGTAAATGAGCAAATTCCTCCAAGTCTAACTCTTTTCTTCTTTCCTCTTGCTTTGCTTTTGCCTCCCAGTTCCTGTTAGATTGGGGATTCTGGCTACTGGCCAAGGAACATTGAGAGGTGTCCTTGAGGGGCAATTGTCACTATTCTACCCCCAGAGCTGAATTTTCCAGTGACTGGGAAGGGTCAGAATGTAGCGTGTTCCAAAGGTCAGGCTGGATGGCTGGGATACTGTAATGTTAGTGAGGCACACATGTCAGTCCTTTTATTTCTGATAATGGAATATCCCTCAAAGAAATGTATTTACTTGTCTATGCCAGGTCTTAGTTGTAGCGTGCATGAGGGGATCTATTTCCCTGACCTGGGATCGAACCCGGGACTCCTGAATTGGGAGCGTGGAGCCTTAACCACTGGACCACCAGGGAAGTCCCCCCTCCCCCTCTCCCCTCTCTCCCCTCCCCCACAAAGAAATTTCAAGACATGAATTCTCATCGTCAGCCAATAAGCCCCTTCCAGGGACGGGGAGTAGTAGACTCAGAAGGTTCTGGAAGGGCCTTGTTGGAGGAGCCTAGCCAATACTCCCCCATGTCTCCCCACTAAGCTGTCCTCCTCAAGGTAAACCTGAGGCAACGCTGATGAGCTAAGTAGGTGCATCAAGACCTGGCTGCTCTCCTCCATCCAGACTCCTCCTGAGCGTTCCCAGGTCAAACAGCGTCGCTGGGGTTTGCTCTTGGCCATTAGAGCCCAAGTGTTCATCTTTGGTACAAACTGCAGGCCTGGACCAAACATCCCTGCCACTGAGACTGAGGCCTGAGGCCCCCTCCAGGTCCATGCGTGCATCCTCAGGGACTGGAACAGCAGGGACAGTGCCCCTGGCCACGTGGCGGGACAAGAAGCCTGTACACTACACTTCTGATGCATCGTAAAATGTTTTATTGAAGTGTACATACTGGAAAATGTACAGCTGGACAAATTTTCACAAACTGAACACCTCTGGGTAACCAGCACCCAGATCAAGAAACAGAATATTACCAGCACCCCAGAAGGACCCCCAGCCTTCTTTTCAAGTCACTCCCCCCCGTCCCAAGAGTAACCACTGTCCTGACTTCTAACTGACATACTGGTTTTGCCTGTTTTTACCTTTATGCAAATGAGATCACACAGTATATATTCTCTGGCACCTGACTTTTCTCATTCAACATTATGTTTGTGAGATTTATCCATTCTGTTGATGTATTGGTTTTTAAATATACATGAACATGATAAAATTTACTAGTTAAAAGTAAGTCTCTCAGTTCCCTGGTGGTCCAGTGGTTAGGATTCGGCACTTTCACTGCCTGGACTGGGTTCAATCCCTGGTCAGGGAAATGAGATCCTGAAACCTGGGCAGCGTGACCAAAAAAAAAAAAAAAAAAAAAAAAGTGCAGCAATAGAAAAACATCATATGATGTTGATTTTATGTGGAATCTAAAAGAAATGATACA